CGTCCGGGGGCATGCTACTTCGGGAAATTTTGAAATCTGAGACGTCTCAGGGCCCTGGAAATGCAATAAAACCTGCTCTTTTCTCTTAAAAAGTTTCTTGAACGACTCTTAAGCAAGCCATTATATACGGGTAAAATTTATTTGCTTATTTTCAAAATTCAATGCCTTATTTAAGCGTAATTCAAATTGCATTTTCTACACTTATCGTCCCTACCTTTCTTAGAAATATTTTTTCTGGAAAGTGCGAGTCTGCTAATACATAACAAGAAAATAATAAATGGAAACAGACACCTGTCCAGCGTACGTACTAATGAAGACTGAACTAATCTACATAATTATATGCAAGGAATAACTTAACGTATTAGTCAGTCGTTTTTTTATCTTTTATCCTGAAATTCATGAAATACAACATAATTTTCGCAGGTATACATTGTGTCAACAACACGTGGCCATCACATTATCATATTTCACACTACATTTTTTATCTAACATTTAGCAACCATTTGTGGCATAAAATTATTACTAGGACACCAATATGGTTCTCATTACCTATATTTCTAAACTAAAAAAACGAGTGTTCAATAACCTGCATTCGTTTCGTGAGAACTTTGTTTGGAGGTAATTCAGGTTCGAAAGGCAAAGAATAATCAACCACAAGCAACCAGTAAGTTCGAACGACGCTTAACAGTTTTAACGCCAACATTTTGTTGGAACCAAATCGAAACGCGTGTATTCACTGTGTCTGAAGTGATATGGAATTTCAACCGTTATTTGAAACCGAGTGTGACACCTTGGATATGGCTATATAGGCTACGAATTTTCAATAAAGTGTTCAAATTGTTTGTATTATAAAAAGCTATATGTTTCGCTGCATGGTAGGAAATATCCTCTATAATTTTGAAACACGCAGAGATTTAATATTTTTCTGGACAAAGACGTGCTATCTGCGCCATAACAAAATCAGATATGTATGGAAAATTATTGGGGGGGGGGGGGCTAAAGCTCCCCAGCCCCCCTGCTCCGCGGTCGCTGTTAATAACAAGAAATACATCCATGCAATAACCCCTCGCCTATATATTTTCCAAACATTGTTTCAACTTGAAGTATTCGTAATTACGCCAAAACTGAACGCAGGCTCGCGTTGCCACGTGATGTTAGTCATGGCACAGCCGAATAAGAAGTTACATTACTCCACAGTGCTCGACGTGTACGGACGTGTGCTTTTTCGCTCCAATAATGACATCTGTTAAGAATATTTTGTACCGTAACTTTTGGTTAGCGAAGAACAAACTGAAATGGTTAGGGGCGCTAGAAGACTTGAAAGCAGTTAACGGAGATTGACGAAGATACTGCAGAAAACACAAACTGGCGATCTCCCAGCGGCGGAACTTGGAAATTTGAAAGTGAGTTACTGGCTGTTAAATGGCAAACCAAAAGTATGCATATATCCTTTGAAGGAGAAAAGTGCAAAGATCTGACTGAACGAGTAATTTCAAATCTGAATAAAGAAGGTGTGAAAGAACACAACAGCATCGCCTTAGCTCAAAATGACACGGAGGACGACGGTGGCGATATAACAACTGTCGAATGTGAAACAACCGCTCAGGTAGTCTGTAACGAACTCCCTACTGAGGTAAGCGAGATTAAATTAAAACTAAACCAACATATTGTCGAAACGAAAGCAGAGCTTCAACAAAGCTTCAACAAATAAAGGAGAACTTTGCCGAACAGCTTGATCAGCTAAAAGAACTGAGTTTGAATGGTGGCACTAAAGTAACTGAATATTGTCTAACAAGCCCAGAACATGAAAACGCTACCCTTAGACATGAAAACACGCAACTCAGGCGCGAAAACGACTCCTTGAAAGAAAGGTTTAACGATCGTTCTTATATGGTATCGGATCTAAATACGAAAATCGAAAACATTGAAGATGAGAAATTGAGCCTAGTCACTGCCCTTAAGCTGTTACAAGAAGACAGCAAATCTATATCATTAAATAACAGAGATGCAACACACAATACATGGCATGCTCCAGGGCATAGAGCGAGAACTAATGTACATAATATTTCTGCTAATTATGCATGCCAAAATAAAACTGCTCGGTCTGCTGATATGAATGCTCAAGAACCGGACATAATAACGCCAAATAGATTCGGTCTCCTGTCCACAGAACATGACTCAGATAAAGAATCAGAAGCTAATGACGAAATTGACCCGAGTGGGTCTAGCACTTCGATTATTTTCAAAGCAGGTCAAGTAATTTAACCATGTTTAAATTACTTGACCTGCTTTGAATAATAGTACGAATAAATACGATAGAAAACAAAGTAGAAAAGAAAGTCAATCAACCCAAACTTCTATTGAAATTTCCAAGGGCAAGGCCAAAACCAACAATAGAAAGCATACAACAAATGCAAATTCAAATAATTTATTTCAAACAGGCTCAAAGAATAATAAGTCTGGTAAACTTGTTTTCATCGATGGGGACTCAATTCTACAACATGTTCACGGCTGGGACTTGTCTAACGATAAACAACGTGTATCTGTAAAGTCCTTTTCAGGGAGTAAAGCTGAAGATATGCAAGATTACATAAAACCATTACTACGCCAAAAGCCCGACGAGATAATATTGCATGTAGGCACTAACAATATTAAAGGTAACTCCAAGACGGCAGAAGTGGTTGCTGCGGATATCTTAAACCTTGGAACCCAAATAAAGTATAGTCTACCGTGCACTAACGTATGTATATCGGGCATTATTACCAGGAAAGATAAAGCTAATATCCAGAATAAAATTAAAGCTGTAAATGACATTCTTAAACGGGTCTCCGACCAAAACAAATGGACCTATATAGACAACACTAATTTTATTAGATTATACTTGCCTAAATAGAGGTGGCCTACATTTAAATAGAAAGGGTAGTAGCACTCTTACTAGAAATTTATAGTAATCACTTTAGTCGTAATTGAAATAAGGCATGACCAGGTGCTGTAAGGTATGCTCAATTTAATCCATATTTCCTTGATTTTAAGGGTTTCAAAATGGGTATGCTTAACATAACCAGTTTACCTAAGCATATTGACGAAATTAGGATAATATTAGCCGATGAATGTCTCGATATTCTTGCATTAAATGAGACAAGATTGGATGATACTATCAATAACCAGGATATGTGCATAAGTAATTATGATCTTATTAGGGTCCATTGTTCTAGAACAGGGGGAGGCGTCTGTTTATATGTGAAAATTTCCCTTAACTATGTAGAACGAAAAGATCTGACTACAGATAATCTTGAAGCTATATGTGTTGAGATTCGCAAACCTTCCACTGCACCATTTATTGTCGGTACTATTTACAGACCTCCAAGTGCTTCTGTTGAATCTTTTACCACATTTGAGCAATTAGTAAAAACAATAGATGATGAAAATAAGGAATTTTACATACTTGGTGACTTAAATGCTAACATGCTTGACAGCTCAAACAATGCCACAAAGAATTTAAATTCAATCATGGAATTATATCAATTATCGCAAACGATAAACACACCCACCCGTGTGACCACGACCTCATTCTCCCTAATAGACGTTTGTCTTACTCCCACATTAGTGATCATTACATGATCTTCGTTGTTCGTAAAATAAATATCCAGCGCAAACAAAACAGTCACAAGAAAGTTGAAGTTCGTAATTTAAAATATTTTAATGCGGAGAGTTTCCAAGCTGACCTGCGTGGTCAGGAATGGGAATTATTAGATAACAATCTCTGCGTTGATAAGATGTGGGACACATGGAAAGCACTTTTCGTAAAAGTTCTTGATAGGCATGCCCCAATCAGGGAAAAGAGAGTTAAAAGTAAACCAAATGTTCCTTGGCTCACTAGTACAATTGAAAAACAAATCCGCGAACGCGATCGCCTTAAATCTCTTGCTATTAGACATAATTCGGGAAATCGCTAGAACGCATACAAAACCTCTAGAAATCGCGTAACTGATGCATTGCGAGAAACAAAAGCAGCATATTATAAAGGAGAATTTAAGAAAGTCAAACATGATCCCAAACAAGCATGGAAAACTGTGAATAAAATCTTAAACCGTAAACAAGAAAGTAGAGAAATAAATTGTCTTGAGACACAGAGAGGACAAATTTCACATCCAACGGAGTTAGCGGAGTGTTTTAATAATTATTTTACCAATATTGGTCCAGATATTGCCAAAAATATCGATAATGGTGACAGAAACTTCAAGGATTACATCCCGACAACAACTAGCAGCTTTAATTTTCAAACAGTGTCTGAATCGAACGTATACAGACTTCTGTTATCTCTAAATCCTCGTAAATCTACTGGAATTGACAAAATCCCTGCTAACATTTTTCGCATTGCTGCTCCTGTAATTACAAACTCATTGACAAAAATTTTTAACAACTGTTTTGCAACTGTTCCTTTTGAGTGGAAAATAGCAAGAGTCACTCCAATATTTAAAAACGTATTAAACAACTATCGCCCCATTTCTATCCTCCCTGTAGTAAGTAAACTTTTTGAAAAAGTATTATGCGAACAACTCCATGAGTATCTTGTTACACAGGAGTTGTTGTCCCCTCGTCAATTTGGTTTCAGGAAGTTTCATTCTACAGCCTCTGCTCTTTTAGATAGTACAAATGAATGGTTTATTAATATGGAACGTGGTTTGTTTAATATAGCTGTTTTCTGGACTTACAAAAGGCATTCAACACCATAAATCATGACGTCCTCTTAACGAAACTTGATCTTTATGGCCTACAGAAGCCATCATTAAACCTTTTAGGATCCTATTTAGCGAATAGAACCCAAATGTGCTCCGTTAATGGCGCTCTGTCGGGCACGAAGTTGGTTACATGTGGAATCCCTCAAGGTTCAATTCTTGACCCACTCTTATTCTTAATCTACATTAATGATCTGCCTCACAGTTTGGGGTACTCGTCGACAAGAATGTTTGCCAACGATACGACTCTAACTGTATCTGGCAAGTCAATTCAAGATGTAGAGGTGGCCATAAATCATGACCTTATCAACGTTAAACAATGGCTTTCTGCAAATAGATTATCTCTTAATTTAGTCAAAACTGAGTATCTACTAATAGGATCTCGGTACAACATAAATAATTTACTTGCTGCTCCCAATGTATTTGTTGGTGATACACCAATTAAAAAGGTCAAAGAAACAAAGCAATCGGAGTTCATATTGACGAGTTTCTATCGTGTGATAAGTATATTGATAAAATTGCTAAGAAGATTTCATCCGGACTTGGGGCGATCAGAAAGCTAAAATCTTGGGTGGATCATAATACATTAAAGTGTGCTTATAATGCACTTGTACTTCCACATCTAGATTATTGTTGCGAAGTTTGGGACACCATTGGCGCCACACTTCCTGATCGACTCGGGAAACTACAAAATAGGCAGCTAGAGTTATTACTGGCCTTAAAAACGAATACGGTCAATCTGAACTTGCGCTAGACGAACTGAAATGGAAACCCTTAAGTGAACGCAGAACACATTTCGTAGCAAGTCTTATGTATAAAATAACTCACGAACTGGCGCCAAAACGACTAACTAACATTTTTCAGAGGAAGTCTTCCTCTTATTACTATAATATGCGAGGCTCTTCCACCAAACTGTTTTTGCCCAAACCTGAGACTGAATATCTTAAAAAAAGTCTTAGTTATAGAGGAGCAAAATTGTGGAACAGCCTTTCAGATGAAGCAAGAAACAAACATTCTCTTGCTTCGTTTAATTCATGTATACGACACCTGGCCAATTAATTAATTAATTAATTAATTAATTAATTAATTAATTAATTAATTAATTAAGAATATTACATATTACTAACATTAATTTAATATGTAAATAATTATATACTAGTTGTATTTGTAAATGTATTGTAATTGTTGTTAACTGTAATGTAATGTATGACCTTCATTTGTATTAATTGTATTTTTTAACTATTTAAATCTACGCCCCCATTGGAAATCAGCTTTCGCTGTAGGGGTAAGCGTAGTTAAATAAAGTTTTACCTACTTACCTACAGCAGAAGCGTAACTCAAGCAAGTATTTGTCTGCGTTTTTACAAGCGGATTCGTCATCAATCACGCCATCCTGGCTAGTACAACCGGCACTTTGTACCTACCAAAACCTGATAAAAACTTCCGGTTGTACTAGCCAGGATGACGTGGATTGGGGTCACCGAGTTAAATTTTTTTCGTGGACGTAAAACAATAAGAGAAACGACTAGATTTACATTTCTGCTGTAACTTCTTATTTTGTGGTCATGGCAACACGATAATTGAATTGTTTTTCCCAATTTTTTGTACAAATCTGCTAAAAATTGATGAAATTTGAACACTTTTAAATACAGAACTATCAGTTTCTAAAATATATAAAGTAGGTATATTATTTTGGATTCTATGGGCTTAATTTTAATGTAAAATTCAAAATGAAACTCTACATAAAAGGTTTTTAAATGTGAATTGAAATTAACTGCTTTTTGCCGATATTTATAAACTCCTCAACTCCAGCTTCAACTTATTACTCGCACTTTGAAATGAAATAAATTTAATTCGTACAGGACGCTAATGAAAATAAATTGTTTTCCTTAATTTAAACTAAGAAAATTTCGCAAACAATACATAGGAATGACTTGAACATCAAGAAGCAAGTCTATATTAATAGTAGAAAATACATGCATGCAGAAACCCTCGCCTTCTGACAAAACCATTGTATTTTCCGAATATGAAGTATTTAAAGTAGTTGTCATGGTAACACGATAATTTTTTGAGAATATTTTTACAAATGAAATATCCCCTAAAAATATGACTTTAATTTCAAAATTACAAATTTCCTAAACATATTTTTGTTAGGTATGTTATTATACGTAAAATAAGCTTCAATTTAAGGTAAAATTCAACCACAAACGCTTCGCAAAACGTTTTAAAGTGTTCTTTATAAAACTAGAAATACATGCATGCAGTAACCCCTCGCCAATATTTTCCAAACATTAAATTAACATGAAGTATTCAGAAATGGCCGACACTGAACGCAGACTCGCGCTCAAATGTTGCCATGACAACACGATATCTTAAATTTTTTCATATTTTTGTACAAAACTGCAAAATAGTTGAAAGATTCGAATTTTTAACTATACAACAATAAATTTCCGAAATATACACTGTAGGTATATTATTTTGCATTTTGTGAGCTTTGATTTAATGTAAAATTTAACTTGAAACGCTTCGTGAAATTTTTGAAATGTTCATTCAACTAAACTATATTTGCCAATAAACTGTTTTTAATACACACAATACAAATTGTTAGGTAATTTTAGTTCAGTCTTCAAATCAATTTGTTCAAATTAAACGGTAATTTATGAAACTTAGAGCTGCGTTGAAAAGGAAAACAGTTCATGTTTTTAGGCAAAATGTTAAAGCAACAAAATTGAAAGCAAACTTGCCGTATATTTCACGATTTCCCATAGCAAATCAATTCTTCTCATTTCTTCAAACAAAATTGCTTCAAGCTTGTTGTTTATGAAACGATTTTCCAAATTCTTTTCTTTTAAAATTGAAATCTTGCTTATCCCACTCCCATGCACAAGCAATCAGCCATATTTTTGAGATCAGTGGGGATGACCACCCACTCAAGTTCGTTGGTCACGCCCTCGATATTTGATGAACTTTAGACTACGCTAATGCTTTCGTTTCTCCGGGTGTAAATAGCCGGGGGGAATTAATATCCTCGCACGGCGCTTCGCGCCGTCGGCTCGGGGACTAAACTGCATTTTGGCTTTATCGTCTATAAACTTTGAGTTTGAAATAAAATGATTTCCAATTCTCGCATGCAAATAACTTTGTAAAAAATTTAAAAAGTAAAAAAATTAATATAAAAATAAAGTGTAGTCAATAAAGTATACACTGGAATTATATGCCGTCTTGTTTTCTTTATACGCAACGTTTATAGGATCGGTATTTTAAGGCAATTATAAAGCAAACAACACATTAATATTTAAAACAAACTTACCTTCGTTAACGTCGGCGCATTTGCTCCCTTGTTTTAGACGATTCTTTCGCCCTTTTTTCTTAAAAAGCTTTTGAAATTCACAAAATCTTACAAAAATGAAATATATTTGCACGAAATCATCAAATCAAGGAATGTTTGCTATTTCGCTGTCGTCATGCAGCCGTTATATTATAATGCAAATTTTAAATTTGACCAATCAGTGTTCGCTATTGATGACAGTCCGCCATATTTTTGAGATCGGTGAGGATGACCACCCATCGTTGATCACCCACACCCGCGATCATTGATGAACTTTAGACTTCACTAATGCTTTCGTTTCCCCGGGTGTATATAGCCGGGGGGATTAGTGCCCTCGCCCCGGGCTTACGCCCGGAACGGCAATCCGCGCCGTTGGCTCGGGGATGACATTGTCATCATATATTTTTCTCTAGGGGGACGTTGCCCGGCCCTGCCCCTCCCACTGTGTACGGCCCTGGTCACATCGACTGCAAATCCCACTTCCACACTTGATTAGGTTCAGGATTTGATCTCGCATGTGTTTGGCCAGTTGTAAAAATATATCATGCCGGTTTGGGAAATAAACACTACTGTAAGCTAATCCCCGAGCCGACGGCGCGAAGCTGCGTGCGAGGGTACTAATTCCCCCCGGCTATTTACACCAGTGGAAACGAAAGCATTAGCGGAGTCTAAAGTTCATCAATTATCGCGGGCGTGGGTGACCAACGGTGTTGGGTGGGTGGTCATCCTCACTGAACTCAAAAATATGGCGGACTGTCACGAATAACGGACACTGATTGGTCCAATTTAAAGTTTGCATTATAACGAGTGCATGACGACAGCGAAATAGCAAACATTTCTTGATTTGATGATTGATAAATTTCTTGCAAATATATTTCATTTTTGCTCGCATTTTTGCAAGATTTTGTAAATTTCAAAAGCTCTCTCAGAAAGAAACTGCGAAAGAGTCGGCTAAAAGAAGGGAGCCGACGTTAACGAAGGTAAGTTTGTTTTAAATATTGATTTTATAATGGTTTTAAAACGCGACGGTCTTTGCGTATATGAAACAACTAAACAAGACAGCATATCATTTCAGTGTATCTTTGATATTGATTCCCTTTTTTATGATATCGAATTTTTTAATTGAATAAAAAAGAAAGCAAAGTTATTTGCAAGCGAGAATTTTAAATCTTTATTGCAAACTCAAAGTTTATCGATAAAGCCATTTTAAAAGGCAGTTTAGTTTTATAAAGAACACTAGTGACTTTAAAACGTTTTGCGAAGCGTTTGTGATCGGAACATACAATGGTTTCGTCAGCAAGGCGAGGGTTTCTGCATGCATGTATTTTCTAGTTGGAGCCTGTATTAAAATATTCTATTAAACTCAACCAAGCATGTATTCTCCTAAGAAATTTAATACCTTTTTCACAGGAGTATTAATATTCATGCTTTGTTGAGTTTAACAGAATATTCTAATACAGGCTATAATTAGCTCATAGTAATGTTTATTTCCCAAACCGATTTCACACATTTTTTACAAATGGCCACTCATATGCGAGATTCAAATTCTGACCCTAATCAAGTGTGAAAGTGGGATTTGCAATCGATGTGACCAGACGCGCTCGGTTCTTGCCTCTTGTTTCTTTCGCCTCGCAAACTGAGAGCCTCTGAAACAAGAGTACACTTAAAGTAACACACAGACAGACCAATTGCCGCAATTGGTATGCCCGCAAATAATATAATGCTTTTAAAAATCTTCAATTTGAGGCAGTAAATTGATAAATAATATCCTGTGATCAAAGTGAACTATGCTCCAGTCAATGTAAATCCCCGCCTGCTCGCATCTACAAAGTGCGGTGGGGGCCATGAGGCTAAGCAAGGTCGCTGAGACAAAACCAAATATTTATACAATCCAGCAATTTTGATTATGCAGTGCTGAAATGTAAAAACTGTCAACTTCTGGGTTGGGGGAGGTGGCACTGAATCTACATTGACTAGTATTGTAAACCAAATAGTTATGGGGTCAGATGAACAGCTGTCAGTTCCACTGTCTAGAACTGCTAATTCTAATTAAACTGCAGTGATTCAAAACATTGTCCAAACATGTTCTAGAGATTATGAGTGCTGTTTTAACTTTAATTGCTACACACCCATATTTTGGAACAATTTCCAAAGACGTACTGACCATAAATGTATCTAAGATAAATGCAAAATATAAATCGTACTTTAAAATTTCCATCATAGAAAATGCGATTTGCCTGCCTGCAAAAAGGTTAATCCACCTCGGAACGTTTTCCATGGTTGTGGACATTCGTTTCACATCAAATGCATCCTGACCAACGTGACAACATCTGCAATTGCCCAGTTTGTCAAGTAACAACGTTGGCAAATTTTGAAGCTCTTGGAACTTGGAAGGTCTTGCAAAGACAGCAAATATTAACGCTGTTTGCTCCGGCGACTCGCTTTGAACAGGACGAAAGCGACGAAGAAAGTGGGACAGCCGATGACGACAATCCAGAAAACAAACAGAACAAAACACTCGTGAAATAAGCATTTGGCGAAAGTCTGACAATCGTCATTTCGCCAACCGGATATGTAATGAGTCATGCGATACTGTACCTGTCAGTCCTGGATCGTTGTGACGCATTTCAGATGCGAGATGTGATCAGATAGGTATAATATTTAAAAACATGTCGGCTGTGTGGTGTGTGGAAAATAGGTTTATTATATAGATACTGATATTTACGCACGTTTTTTGTGAAAAACCGTTTCAAGATTAACGTCAGCCAATCAGAAACGCGAAACGATTATTTCACACGTGCGAAAAACGTTTCGTCTAATCAGCACTAGCCTGTGTTTACGTACGTCGTACGAGCGAATTCGTACCGTCGGCAATGTTTTCGGCAGAATTTTATCTAGTTTGCTGCATTTTTTTTGCTGTTTAAAGTAATTTTTTAGTTTGAATTTGACAATTTAATTCCTATGTTTGCAAAAGATTTATAACACTACAAAAGACAAACGATGAATCTATTTTTTGAAAGAAAATTCAAAAGACACAAAAAATATCATGCCAGTTGCACGAAAACAACAGCAATGTAAGTTGCATTATATTTAGTTTTTGAAACGAGTTATTAATATTTTTCTCTTATTTAAACGAAAAAATATTGTTTGTTAATATTCCAGCCTATCTATGCCTTGTTCACTATATATTATTGCCAAATTTGGTTTGAGAGTAAAATAGAATTTTTCTTTACAAGTGATAACATATACAATGCCAAAATAAAGTCTCTATTTATTAAACTGCAAAATCTGCCAATTTTTTATAACATGGTGCAAGTGAGAGTCTGCTATTTTAGCGCGTCGAAACACTGTTATTCAAACATAAATTATATTTCGCGTTCTAGATCGGATTTAAAAAATCCCCCGAGAAAATTAAAAAACATAGTACCCTTTATCAGAATTTGTCAGTTTTGGAGTGAAAAGTTTAATATTGAATGACACAAAGGGTGTAGAACAAGGTGTTATTTTCTCACTCTCTTTGTTTATATGTTTCGAATTTCGGACATTCTGCTTGGTCAAGGACGCAAAATGTAGAGAAACGTGCTGATTGGCTAACATTATTTACCCTTGTTCATCCATCCATAACTTTTATCCACAGCCAAACAACCAGGCAACTTTTAGCTACATGTCAAAGCAATATTTCCAAATTTGCATTTTGCCCTTCTTTTATTATCAGTAATATTTAAAGTCATATGCAGTTTGAAATATTTTCGCGGTTTTTAACGTGTACTTTAAACTGGCGCGGTGCCTAGGCTTTGGTTATAGACTATGATACATAAACTTTAATTTTAATTAATATATATGAGGCTGTTTATAATATATCAATGCCAAAATGCATGGGGCAAAATTCACAATTCCATGCTGGGTTAATACTAGCACTCTTACAAATTTCAGCCTATTTTGGGCAATACAAATGCACTAACGAAAAATTTGATGCAACCGATTGATCCAAGTTAATGAAAACGCTATAAATAATTCACCTATATAAACTTTGCTGAACAATGTTCACATATACGAAAACTTGACGAATGCAATAACCTCTGGCAACCGGCCGCATGAAGATAGAAAAGTCGGCATGCAAACCATCGAAGTTGTGTGCAACGTACTTTTTATAGACAGTTGAAATGGTTATATTGTTTCCATGGCCATCCATTTACACAAAAAGAGCGATGATCGAATTTTTTTCCAACTTGGAAAAAAATTCCATGCCGCATCCATATTTCCTCCAGCATTCCGGCATGCAGTTACTTCGGGACCGGTACACCTTATTATCCTTCATTTATATACACTAGGCTAGATAAATGTTGCAATCATGTTGCTATGGATTGATGCTGAAACTTATATTTTGATATACAAAAATAAGGATTGATTAAATTGATTTTAAGAAAATGACCCCCCAGTAACATCATAAATGATTTATTTTGAAAAGTCAACCCAGTAGAGTTGGCTTTGCTATCACTTGCCTATAACATGAGTTAGCCTTGCCTAGAAAAAGCTGCCTAGAAATTCCTGTATCATATTCGAAAGAAGTCCTGGTTTAGTTTATGAAATGCTAACGTTGTCAGTACTTGCAGAAAACGTGCTACAAGCAAAATATTTCTATTTTTCATAATACTTATGTATAATACCTCTTGGGTCCGCTGGATCAACAGCACACGCAGTGTTAACGACAGCAATCACAAGATATGTAATCAATTCGTTTCGCATCGTGCTGGTAAAGTTAAAACGAGAACATCTATGATAAATATACGTTTACGGAGCTCAATTTTATAACTCAAGAAATCATGACACGACACACAACATAATACAGCACAACATGTCAGAACAGAACATGATAACATAACTTAAAGTACTCATTAAAAATTCATGACGAAAATTCAAAAGAAATGAATGTTTAATCAATGTTTATAAATCGGATAAAGATTTGTTCTGCTTTACATAAACTTCAGCTTTGATTTCTTGGCTTATAGACAATGTTTATGGTCGTTTTTTAGGATGGGTCATTTTTTCATACGTTAAAACATTCGCATCCGATCTTTATCTTATATACAAACTCTCGCCTTCGGGTCGATCAGATAAAGATCAGCTGCTTGTGTTTTAACTAGTACATGACGTGACATGACATGACATTTTATGACTTTTAAAAATACAAGTAGTTAATTTTGCAGCACATAAAATTGATGCATATATACATTCATCCAGTGTATACTTTTCATTTAGCCCCTGTTGCCGAACAGCTTCACTTTAATAATATCTAGTAACTTACAAAATTAGTTTGACTAAGACAACGTCGACAAGGTCTGTTTACGAGCTTGATTCCTGTAAGAGAATTTGGAAACATCTGAAACAGTTAGATTAAGATTTCCTTTCAGAGATCTACATTTGGGCAAAAATTAATTAGACATTGCAGAAAAGCCTGGAAGTAAAATACCGCTGTTTGCATTGTTCAGCTTGTTGATCATTTAACTGTATAAAACAGGAAGACGTGTGTTCAAATCAAAGAAATTGCCACATAAGCAGAGGATTTGTAGATCGTCGAATGTATTCAGGAATATAGGGTCATAAAATTTGTTTTTGTCAAACCTCTGATTCAATTACGCTACAATCAATCACTGCACGCATGCTTCACTTACAAGTTAATTAAACAATTTGTAGATTTTTATCAGATACTCATACTCACTTTGTATTCAGTATCCCGAGTTATTTTCTTTTAAATCGCTTTTCTTGTTAGCTCTGTTCTCTATGGAAGCGCTATAAGAACTGACGAGTGTGTTAATTAAACATGAATACATTTATCATCGTTGGAAACCTAAGTATGACAGCCGATTACTCTTTTTGTTGAAGCATGTTGCTGAAACGGACGCTGTATTGTATAGATATAAATTTAGTAATTATTAAGTATTATTACACAGCATGCAAGTGCCAAAGTTCATGTTTTCTTGAATCTCGATCATTGCACCCAACTGAGCGTATATGAGATAAGGGAAACATAACAGCATACTTATTAAATGCACATTTTGTTTAATTAAGTATTACACAATATAGTCACTAAATCAACAACTTTTAATACTTACTCGACATCCCAAATCGAACACGATATTTCAACTCGAACTCGATATTTCAATTCGATTTTTCAACTCGAAATCACAATGATTACATACTCGTATTAATTTAATTGTTATGATATTTTGGTCAATATGTATGCATTACGACAAAAATAGATCGTCTTAGACTTAGGACAAAATTACCTTTCAAGTTTTTCAGTGGAATTCATATTGTATTGTATTGTATCGTATACTTCCCATTCAACTCAACCGGAATAAACTATCGTAAATATAGTACCATGCATATATAGGCATAGAGAACAAAATAATTACCAGATATTTAAGCTCTTTTTGCCGGAATATACCATTCTAAAAATACAACTATAAAATTTATTCCTAATTAAAATGTAATAATAGTTTACGAATCGTGCATGGTTATGGTATAGCCGCATTCTATTTATTATTATTTTACTTCTTTATTAATACCTCTTGATCGAGCTAAAAAAAATTAATGCAAACAGCAGGCAAAATAGTTTGTTTGAGATCATCGCAACCTTTATTGGATTTGTATATCATGTGGCATGGATTATATATGATCGCTGTACAGTGGATTGTGTTATTCAGATAATCGATTCTAATACGCGGGTTCTTACTTTGACAGAATAAGCCGATCTATATTATTTATGGGCTACTAGGCCTACACATAGTCTACAAAAATATAAACGGCAATCAGTTTAGTAGTATGCACATCACTTATATTTATTAAAAATAAACACGATGAGTCGATGATATTTATACCAGACATATCACACACAAACATTTTATGTATTTATTTAACTTGAACACATCATTTGCATTCATAGACGTCATGTTGATCTTCAGAAAATAAAATAAAATTAATGAAAATGTCGAACTGAGACGGATATAGCCTACATTGTCCAGAACTGCATGTGGTTATCTTTTTTATCTTCGATCTCTTAGAGTTTTGGTAATATGCCAAACTGCAGGCATGATTTCAGTACTTTAGTGATTTTGAGGAAGTCAAACATATTGTTATATGATGGTGTAACCAACGAAACTAACGACAGCTAGGGCATACCATCAAATGGTCAATTTTAAAACACGCTATTTCGTACACAGGGGGGGGGGGTCAAAACGCTGCAATTTTGTTTGGAAGAAAAAATTTGCATTTTGAAAGACATAAACAAAGAAATTTACTCAATAAAAGAAGCGAAATTTTCGGCAAATGTCGTCACAAAAACCGATTTCGAGTAAACAAAGTCGTTAACAAAATATAATGACTCAAGCATTGTTTCGCCTAAGCACTGTTTCGCCTAAGCATTAATTGTTTCGCTTAGGCATTGTTTCGCCTACACGCATTCCGCGCATTCTTTCGATAGCATAAAAGCAACTACCCTGGGTGCCAGAGGTTCTTGTAATATTGAGGGATACACGAAGATTCAAGCTGGGAGGCGGCGAGCGGGAAGAACCTCTGGAACACTTCTATGGTTTCTCAGATCGAACCGCACCAATCACGATGCTTAATAGTGTGAAGTGATCCAGAATCTGGATCACAGTGTTAATTGGTTAACGGCAGGGACTTGTTAATACAATGACTTTCATTGGCTGTTTGAACCGTATGTCCTTCAAGATATTATCGTTCAGAATCCGTACAGGCATACCCTGTTGTTTAATATAATAATATTATATTTATAAACATAGTCAAGCGTAAATATATATGCCTCTAGTTTTGCGAGTCTTGCGAGAGGATTTCAACAACTCGGTCGCGGTTGATTCGATTTTGAATTTCTTTACTGGACTGTATTACAAAACTTAATAAACATCAAGACGATGCCTTGTTTCTCCCCCCCCCCCCCTACGAGCGTGGAAGAACCTCTGGCACCCAGGGTAAAAAGCAACCTATATTTTCGAAATTACTCACCACCTGATGATTCCTATACGGATGAAACAGACTGTTGTGGTTTTTTGAGGTAAAACGAAAAACTATATTGCGCTCTATCTATATGGTATTGAGCACTGTTTGTGTTTCGTAAACCAAAAACTTAAGCTATATAAATATATATATATACACTTTTAAATTGTTATTGCAATTAAAGCAACAACATTGATCACAACTGGGAGGAGAGAAAGGCTGGACCCACTTTCTGCCGGCCCCTTTCTCAAATTTAAATCTATGCTACATACACACATAGTTTACGAAAATAAACCGCAATAGTATGTACATACAATGCACTGTATGCACATCACTTACATTTATTCCACGATGCCCGCTGGCATCCGTAAACCCGTCAAGGAATATAATTAACTGATTTGAATTGTCAAATAGTAAAATCGCGCACGTATGTTGGGAAAGTAGTATTTGTACCTCATATAGTTCCGTTCATTCGACATGATGTTGACATATATCCTTTGGTCAGTATCAACAAACTTGTGCAGAAACGTCTGGATCTGAAATTCAAATGACCACTGACAAAGACTGAATATCTCATTTTGAATTGTTATCTCGATCCGAAAATTAAGCTAACCATTTTGTATGTGCTTGTATATTTCTTTCGTTGGCAATCAAGCACCAGTTCCTCAAAATCGAAGAGAAGAGTCATTAAAAATCTAATTCCATCATAGTGAGCTCAATCAATTCCGACAATAAAGCCGTTTTGACGCAAATCAAGCTGTTATATAATTAAGGGTTTATAATTTTAAAGTAGTAGGGAAAGGCCACTTTTGTGACAACCCGCACCCCCACCTGTACCAAAACACCCCTTTTGTGCATTTCCTTCTGCGCACCTCCCACCCGTTTACACCCATATTCCGAATTTGCCTACTGCTCATGCGTCATCTGCCTTCCACACAATTTCCGAATTTTTGTCTACCAATCGCTTCGCTCCCCCGAATCCTTATGTCCGATTGCCTCCGGTCGAAATCGCCAATTTAAATATAAGCTTTTTTTGGTGTAAATAAAAACGGTGGTAATGAGTTTCAGAAGATCGAATGTCAAAGTCCAACTGTACATCAATTGTCCGGAAAAAATGGAGCGGATTACTAGAATGTGCAGGGAAACGTCTTACACGGACATGATGCTAATTATTTCGACCAAAAGTACTGTGGTAGCAAACCACAGAATTAATATTGGGCGTGGTTGGATGGGAAAGGACAGGGAGATTCGGCTGGTGGATTGCATTTGCGGAGGTCCGAAAGGCATTATTATCTTCATAACTGTTTGCGGTTATGAATAGATGTTTGCGGTCCCAATAGATTATAAACAAAATACTCATTCCTGCAACATGTTAAAAGAACCAATCCAGATCTCGGGAATTTGTACCTAATATTGTATTAACTAACGTCATGTCACTTCTTCCGAAGATTGACGAAATTCGTGTTTTTACTGAAACTCATAGCATTGATTTATTCTTAATTTCTGAAACGTGGCTAAAAAGTAATGTTGGGGATGATCAACTTATCCTCCCTGGCTACAACCTCGAACGGTTGGATCGTCGAATTGGAATTCATGGGGGCGTCTGTTTGTTTTCCAATTCGAAATATAAAATATCCCGTTTATATGGAGTGCCCGAAGATTTTATTGGAGTGTCCGAAAGTTATGTAGGTTTATGTACGGCCGACCAGCTTACCCAGAAGTGTTTCGTGCATAGTTACTGCTACAATCTACCACCCCCCGTCTTCAGATGATAATGAAATCTTGGAGTACCTAATTGCATCACTGACCCGGGTTGAGAGTCTCTACCCTGGTTGTGGATTAATTTTGGCAGGTGACTTTAATCGCTTAGATATAAAACAGTTATGCATAAACTTTGGTTTAAAACAATTTGTAAAGATATCAACAAGAAGGGGCAATACACTTGACCTAGTGCTCACAAATCTAGATCCTTTCTATCATCGGACTCCATCATGGCATTTCCGCCCTTTGGCCTTTCTGATCATTCTGTAATTGCTGTCTCTCCTAGACTCTGAGACCCTACAGGCCCTGTTACACGGTGCAATTTTTCATGCAACTTGTCTCGCAATGTTTAAAAAAAATTTTGATAATGCATTGCAAGAGGTGTTACACGCTACGCTGCAATGATTTTTATGCAACTCGCAACGATAGGGGACAGAGGCATGCGAAGAGACTAGGGAGAGGCGCTATTTGGCGCCAAATTTTAATTAAAGTAAAGCGTTGTACTGGGGAGAGCCAATAAGAACTCTCCAAGCCATAAACATTGCGAGACAAGTTGCACGAAGCCATGTTACACGCTGCAATGCTAAAAATAATTGGTGCAATCGTTGCCAAAAGTAGAATCGACTTCTACTCTGTGCAATGCTTCATGCAACTTGTCTCGCAAATATTTTGACCATTGCAAGGCATGTTAAACGGTGCAATCACTCGTGCAACTTGTCTCGCAACGCCATTGCGAGACAAGTTGCATGAAAAATTGCACCGTGTAACAGGGTCTTAATGCTAATGAGTTTCCAAACCATCTCCTCTATTAACTATGATTTGACCGCTTGTTCATTTCAAAAAAGCTAGAATTAGAATTGAACATTAAAAACAGCCGGGTCGTATTTTACTAATTTTTAGATTCATTTTCATTTAATTCTGCTTTAGCTAATCATTTTGCAAAAATATAAATGCGTATGTGAACTTTAAAGTTTGAATAAAGCTGTACGTCACTCAGTCACTGTTTTGTCTTTCTCCTGGACGTTCCAAAAGTACCAGTGATGCATGCAATTATCTTGCTTCAGCAATATAAAAGGTTTCTGTGAAGGATCCTCTCTGTCCCTATTAATTCCTAGCTGTCTTTTTACATATCACAAACGATGCAAATGCAATAGTAACCTATATATACGCATTAAAGGTCTGTTACAATTTACACTTTACAACTTACTATTACATCTGATGTACATTTCTAACCGGAAGTTCGAATTCAGGTAAAACCTTTGAACCACTCTCGCCCGCCCCATTCCCAACTCCAGATATGGACTTTTTCTTCCTGAATCCCAGCCTTTGTGTTAATTTAGTTATCTACATACGTCACTTAACTCACTGAACTCTACTAACAAAGATAGCACAAACTTATATGTTAGTTGGTGATAACATACCTGTAACCAGATAGATAGTGAAACAGTTATCCATCTAACGATTTCAAGGTCCTTGAAACGTGTAGAAATTCGATATTAGTGAATGCACTTAAATAAGTTAAATATTCCGCAATTACGGATTTTTACAAAACCAAAGCACTCTCGAAAGGCACTTAAAAATGTCATCATTATCGTTAGATGATATAAAAGAGGGTTTGGATTCCTTTTTTGGAAGGAAGGAAAGACTTAAAAGTGTCAATAATTAAGTGTAATAACTAAATAAGTAAAATATGCAAAAATACCTTTGTTCCAAAAAAGGTTATAAAACTAAAAAAAATCTTTAAAAAATATACCATTTTTAAAACCATAACATAAAAATTGTCTACATTCTATTTAAATCGGTTTGGAGTTCTGAATTCTAAGCGCACGAATTTTAAAGCCTTAGAAAATAAATTCAGGCTGGAATGTAACACTCGAATGGTTATATAGAAATAACATCATTTGTAAGTTTTGTATATTTCTCTTTATTCTCAAGAAAACGTTCAATACCTGTCTTCATTATATGGCTGTGCAGTCCATCCGCGAAATGCAGCATTTTGATTGGTTCCTGAGCGGTCAGAAACCAACGGTATACGAAGAGAAGAGAAACTTAAATCACTCGTTTCCCAGTAACAAAAAAACTATAGCTGGGAGTTTATTTATTTAACATACTTAACTTGGTGCACTGTTGATAGCTACTATTTAGCATAACTATATATATAGTTTGCTACTTGTCAAATACTTGCATGGAGATCACAATTATGGAACTGCGCACTTATACCGAACAGTCAGTTATAGTATATCTGTATATATTTAGTCTATAGTGTAAAGATATTTCTATTAAGATATTATTGGGAATATTAGCACCATGCTGGAGCTGAACCATGTCAACATAGGTATTTAATAGTATAATTCTTTAAATTTCATCCGTCACAAAAACAACTGAATAAAAACATCCCATGGGCCGGCATGGGCCATGGCAAATAACTTGCGTAAATGAAAACAAAAAATATATAAATTCCAACAAACCCTGGAAGTGCTTCATTTTTGCATGATGTTCATTCTTTCTATTACAGTAAGCCATCTTAATCTGATTACTATATATAGTCAGCAAAAGTCGTAGAATTCACCAGGACATATGGCACCAAATTGTATACATTACAGTATGTGGTGGTCATGCAACTAAAACCCTAATTTCAAAATCCCAATCATAGACCGCGATTTTTATTTGATGGATTACGGCGATTTTCTCACCAATGTTAAAAGAGTGGGGGAGGACAAAAGAGAAGAAAAAAGGAATTATTGAATATCTATAATACCACATACAAGTGATATAAAATACTGCATGGTATGTTAATGCACTGCATTAAATAAAACAAATCCTATACTGCGGTATAGGTAACATTCAACATTGCATTGTTAAAATTTTTAAGCCCACACGTTTTTTCTTCATTTTACACATTGTGGGCGTCTTATACTCAGCAAAATCTATATCCTTTCCGAAAACTATATGATCAGATGAGAAAACTAACGCATGAAAGCTGATGGGGCAGCGTTTATTTTTCTGGTTTACAATATTCACAAATTCGATTGGGAAATCCGTTATCTACAGTACAAATAAAAGCGCTGCCTTATTAACTTCAAACGTAGAGCACCTCATTGTGGAATCGCACATTACTATGAGGATTACGCGGTAACCATTATAGACAGGTGCCAAGACATCTGCACCCACAGAAAGGAACTATTTTGTAATAGATTAATCGCGGAAACAGCTATTCCACCATTCTTTATATAGAGCAACAACGGCAAAAGAATATAAACCAACAAGCGAAACAAATGTATAAAAGCAACAAAGCGCCAAAAATGCGGACGCCACTATAAATACTTGGAATTTGGAGAAGTCATATAAGTATTTATAATGAATGAAGCTCAAGTATCTATTGTAGGTATTATTGCCTTTTAAGAAGCTATTATTGATGAAAGAGTTGTGTTATTTATATTGAACGGCATCATGACGGCCCAAATAACTATCTGGAAAGACGCTGTTTTGTAAAAGGCGTTGAAATCTCTATGCTTTTTTCCTCTCGCCGACTAACTTGGGAATTATACAGATAACAGTGATGCCCGGCATCACTGTTATCTGTACAGCCGATATTATTTTTTAGTACAAAAACGAACAATGCATGTACAATGAATAATCCAATCGTCATCCGGCCAAATCCAAGTCTAAGCAATATAGACAAAAACGCTTGCATATACGTATACATCATTCATATAACTTATATAGCATTTAATATTTTTTAAATGTCGTATATGCTATGAATATGTGATCGTGCATATAATTGTTTGAATAAAGACAGTACCGACTACTGAGTATACGCGCGCACATCTAGCTGCGCCTAAATTCGTACTATACTTTACTGCAATTAAACAGTGTGGTAATAGCTATACAACATGCAGTTTATACGTATACTTCTTGCACATGTATGTATCTGCATATATCACTGAGTATGAACTAGTCCATACCGGCATATGTGTATATAACATATATGATAATAAAATCTCGCCGTCAACTACATAGGTATGCAGGATAATCATGATCAACGATGCATGATGTACATGCCTTGATATTCGCTCGCACCTATCTAGTATCTACACGTCTGTAAGGCAATATTTAAAGGTAAATAATTAAGCTACAATACAATAATGGAGTAACTGTCTTTATGTTACATGTACACACTAGTTGACATACCTTCTGAAACAGATTTCTTTATCACTGGAATGTCAGCTATTGATACACTCGAGTTTGCTGTCGTATAAACCTCAGAAGATCATATTCGCAGCAGTGTATATCGTTAATGGGTAGCACGTATGATTGCAAAGTAATACACAAGGAATGTACTATTTATAATCGGCTTCTGCAGACGAGATCTCCGCGGGTCGTGGGAGGACTTTGGAAAAGAGGATTAATAGTTGTCCACCACACGGAGTTATAAATAGGATTCACGCAGAAGCTAGCGCTTGATCTATAAGATAACTGGAATCATACATCATGCAAGAATGCAATCGATCAAATGCTTGGCAACGTGATATAAAGATATTTCATAGCTTCATGTAGCCATATGGAGGTCTGTCATGATGTATATATATTTATATATATATATGATAAGAGGTATAACTGTTTAGCAGAAAGGTTAAATAAATAGGAAGGGAAGTGCATGGCGCGTTGTCGCAGCTGTATCATCATAACACATTGTTTTATCAGTAGCGAGCAGAAAGGACTTTACAAACTTATATACAGTTACTTAACGCTTTTATCAAACAGAGGCATTCAAGTACGTTCGAGAGGGCGTTTTAAACTAGATATCTTGTACGTTGACAACGGACGAGGCTCACCGGCCGACAGTTCGAAGTTCTGTCGTGAAGTACCAAACATGTTGCCTCGTTTGGGTTAAATATGGATCACAGTTCTGCATTTGTTTACAAAAGCAAGCCACAACAGTGCCTTAATTAATGAGAAAATGTTTGCTTAAAGCAAGCAGTTATGAACATTGTTTCGTTTTCTATAAAAGAAGAACTGATGATTTTCTGTTTGGATATTTATCATATTTCTTAAATTGTTAGTCACAGCTTAGTTCAGAGTACGTAGTAGTTATGTCAACTAACCACGGAATGTTTCTAGTCTACACACACTCGTCAATATTGAGCATGCAGTAAGCCGTGTACAATGCATAATGCCAGCGGCCCGAATTAGTATTCTTAACATGTTGCATAAAGGTTAAAGCATTATAGGAATATAGCACAAGAATTATACAACGATAGTTATGATGCCTTTTTCAATGTGTTTGTAAACTGTATTTGCTAGCACATGCAATCTTTCAGTATGCACGTTTCACAGTAAAACTACTAATACTGTAATAGGAAGACATGCGGCTATAATAAACTAGCTGGGAAAATGTGTCAACAGTGGATGCTACAAGTGCGTGTGGACGAACACTGACATAATGGTGCAGATGCTTGAACTATAACTTTCCTTCCCTATTAAAAGTTAAATTGAATAGCTTACCTTGTATATTTTTAGTTTACAGTCCACGCGTCGCTGCCAATCGCTATTCTGAAGTGTGAACTTGAAAGATTCTTTGATGACAGTTAGACTGCGGTTTCTAGCAATGTGGAGTCAAATTCCTAACGCACTTCTTATAAAGTTACACTTAGCTGACGTTACTAGCCCAGCATTCAAATTATCATCATTAAGACATTATTTATTTACCAAAATGAGATGATGGTATTAGGAAAGCGAACGCTGCGAGGCCTTGTGGCACTTATCTAATCTTTTAACCCAATTATAGTTGTTGTCGTTCTATGAAACCGGAAATACTCTTGTGAAAGTCTCCGCTGCTAAGCGAGAACTGATTCCGTCCATGCCCCCATTTTTAGAGCTTCTTTCTTTCAGGCTGAGAGAAACGATGGTAAGATCGTCTTTTAAGTATATACCGCGCGTTATAATAATGATTAATTTTGATTTTATAAGCAAACATTTTATTTTCGCACATTATAGCTAATGGATTTTTGCCCTGTTGCCAAAATGTTGTAATTCGATGCTAATTTAAGAATGTATAGTAAATTACGTTTCGAGTGATCCATGATAGCGGATGAACATTAAAAAAGAAAGTGATTTAAACTCCCCGTTGGTACACTACCATGATAGATTGCCAATAAGGAGTTTTAAGTTGGTGAATAATCCCGCAGTACTTAACGTAATATAACTATAGGATTGATTTCTTTTAAAGAGCCATCATATATCTCTGTACTTGAAATAAGCATTTTACACTCTTTTAAGCTATTATGGTCATTATAGACTCGTCAAATAAAATTCTCACACAGCGCAGTATTTGAGTTGAGAGCTTTTTGACCTATTTACCGAGTGTACATTAACACAAAATTATATATATATATATGATCATGATCACTGGACTGGAGTGTAGTTAGATTTGACAATGACTTTGTGACTTTTTGAAATCAAGTCGTAATATTTAACCGACCTTGAATTTTGTTGTCTTGTTTAATAGCTGGAATCTTGAGTATACAGGATGTTAATACATGATAAGAGTATTCGGAGTGTGTTTCATCTTCAGTATATTCTGTAATATAGACCTAATATAGGCATCGGTACAGTAGTCTAATATATAAACATATGCTCTCTGCTGATGAGATCTAGTGTAGTTTGTTGTCCGTATTGGAGCTAGATACCCAGACATTGGATTACTTGGACATCTCGTTCGATAGAACTATAAGTTATAATAGTGGATGGTTTTTTTTTTCGGTAGATGGAATTTTCGAACGCAAATTTATATACATTTTTAAGCCTAGCCATATCATGTTGTTTAATAATGAATTAGTAGCCTATAGCGTCATGCCGCACGAATAAAAATGTTCCCGCAATCAATGCCGAAATTTGTCAAACTATACTGGCTACAAATAATCAAGTATCCGTACAGCAACATTTTGACGAACATTGCCGCCCACAAATATTAAGGCTCTGAAGCCAGTGCCCTTTCATGGCGGCCCCCGCCGCTTTAGTTACGTTGTTTCCGGCGCCCAGGCGCAGTTGCGAAAAATGCAACTATAGGGTATAGGCCCTCTGGCAGGAATCCAACTGAGGCCTTGCGATCTTTGGTTAAATATAGTCCTGGTTATTTTACAAACCTTTTCCCTACTACAGCCTGGTTAATTAATTTGACTAGCGGTACTCAGTTCTGGTGAAATTAGCCAGACTATATACTAGGTGGATAAGTAACCAGGATATTGACCAGGCCATTATAGACCATGGTATCGTTGGCTTTTGTTATTGTTTTTATCTTTCCAAAAATCGACAAATAACGATAAAAATACCAATATTCCAAAAATATGGTTTAAATATACGACGGAAAACGTTCCGAGATCTATTGATCTATATTCGGCCCTTTTAAAGAGATATGACAATATAAATTAAGTTTGTCTTGTTTGAAAGAACATTGAAAAGGATATATAAACTTCGTTTACAATTATTCCGTAGCTTGCTTGGTTTTCCGGCAAAATAAATGCCTTATTTTGATCAAAAGCAGCATGCATTCCGCCACAAGTAGGGTAAAAAGCGAAATTTTTATCTTGCAAACCAAATGTCATTATCAATATATGAAACTTGATTTTCCAAAGTCTTTTTTATAGTACTCAATTAAGGAGCCTCCGTACATGCAGTTTACTGAATATATGTCAGTCATTTTACACTAAAAGCTATTTGAATCTAAAAAACTATTTTTTTGCACAAGCCATTGTTTTCTCTTATACTGAATGAGTAATCACACACAATCGCTACTCTTCACGTCACCATGACAACATGACGTCACCATCTATATGGCCTATATCAACCAAAAAAGCCGTCTTAGCGGCGGACGAATAACCCGGCGGTGATCTACCTCTTTTTATTGCAGAAAATACATTGTTATGAAGTTTTGAATCTGTTTTGAAAGTTATTTGAAAATCGCCAGTGTAGTTTTCGAGAAACTGAATTTCAGCCTTTAAGATTGCATTTTAGCCTTTGGAAAGGCTGAAATTCAGTTTGAAACACTGATATATATATATTGGAAACTGTAGCGAGCCTCCTGAACTCACAACATTTTAAGAAACTTTTTGAAGAAATTTAGTCCCACATGAAAACAACAATAACAACAATAATAATTTATTCACCTCATTTAGTTAATTACAATTGATATTTTGATAGTCCAGATATATATTCATTCACAGAGAAGGAGGATCAAATATTTGTTAAGGTGACTGGAAGCTAAGTAAAGTAAAGTTTTCTAGTTAGCTCCAGCTATAGTAAGATAATAAAATTATTGTAGCGACACCGGCAAAATACAACACACACACAATACAAAAACAAACTTTGGCAGTCAATAGCCTAATTGCTATTTTCCTTAATTCTTTTTTAGCAAAAATTGTTTTACTTTTCTTGAAAACGAAAAATGTGGGAGATCTTTTAGGTGGCAAGGTAACTCTTGCCAGATATCAACCGCTATGGAAGATACAGACTGTTTTCCAATGTTAGTTCTTGTTGGAGGTTTATAAAAATTCTTTCTGGTGGCATACCTCGTATCATATGAATGAACATCGCAAGCAAACTGAAAATAGTCATGGAAAATATCCGGTAATTCATTTCTTTGCCATAAATAAGCAAACTTAAGAATTTGCAATTTATATAGTGATTCGACATTGAGAATATCTAATAATCTCATAAACGGAAAGGCACTTTCTGTATTCTGTCCATACGTTATAGCAAAGAATATAACCCTTATCATTGTATTCTGTTTTATTTGAACTTTTTTTATTTGCGTTTTATAGGTACTTCCCCATGCCAATATGGCATATGATATATACTGGTAAATAAGGCTGTAATATAGTTGTTTAAGTTGAGCTAAAGTCATATAATGTCTTAATTTGTAAAAAATACCAATATTGCAAGCCAATCTAGAACAAAAAATATACGCTATATGATACTTCCATGAGAGTTTTTCGTCAATCAACACTCCTAAATACTTGATCTTTTCTTTCAAGGAAATAAATTCTTCCATCTTTATTTGTTATCTTAATATTTATATTTTGGGTAATTTTTTTATTGGAAGATTTAACTATCATGCATATAATTAGTTTTCTTTATATTTATAGAAAGCTTATTCAAATCGCACCATTTTTTTTACTTTGGTAAGCTCTTCATTTATTAATATTTCAAGATCTTTAATTGATTTGGTGGAGGCGAAGATATTAGTATCGTCGGCAAATATTCTAATAGATACTTTGTCTGAGCCTGATTTGATATGTCATTAATATAAATTAAAAACAGTAATGGACCCAGCGAACTTCCCTGTGGAATGCCACATACCATTGTCTGTTTTGGAGATTCCTGGTTATTAAATGTTATGTATTGCTGCCTGTTAGTAAGGTAGCTAGGGAACTAGAGAAAAAGTTTTAACAAGTTTACCCTGCTTATGACGTCATTTCGATGAAACTCTAATTAAATGGGTGTGTTCTTATCTGTCCGGAAGATATCAGTGTGTTCAAATTAAAAATCACATTTCATCAATAGCTCCTGTTTCATTTGGCGCACCACAAGGAAGTATTCTAGCTGGGACAGCTTCTATTTATTTTATTTGTTAACGATCTCCCTTTACATAGTAACTAGAACGTAGATCTTTATGCTGATGATTCCACCTTGCACTCCTCTGGAAATTCCATGAACCAGTTGAATTGCACACTCTCGTCTGCCATGGAAGACATCGAGCAATGGGATGGTGATTAATGGCGAGAAAACAAAATCAATGGTGATTTGTACATATCAAAAATCTACGAAAATTGGCTCTTCTGAACTCCATATCAATTACAACAATACCGTGCTTGAAAATGTAGAATAAAAAAGATTGCTGGGTGTGATTGTTGATAATAATCTCTGTTGGAAAGCTCATATCAATGATCTAGCTTCTAATCTGAGTAAACTTATCGCTCTGTTCCGCCGAATCAAAATGTATCTGCCACTTCAAACAAGGATTCTATTTTATAAAACGTTCTTTCAACCAAGGATTGATTATTGCTGCACCGTTTGGGGACAATCACCACACACTTCAAGAATATACAAACTACAAAAACTTATCCTAAGACTAATTTATGATAAATCTAAAGTTTCTCCATCTAAACCACTTTTCGAACAGTCAAACATTTTACCGATAAAGTACAGAGTGATGTATAGGGTAGTTTGCCTAGTTTATAAATCCTTAAATAACTTGACTCCAGACTGTTTAAGTAATATGTTCAAATCATTGTCAACAGTTGTTATAATTAATGACGTAATTATTACGTGGACACCACGCGTGTGTCACGCAATTCTGCGAGCACATGGAATATTAATGTCTTGTGTGGAAGTTCTGAGTAGAGCGAGTTAAGAAGTGATATATAATTTTTAAAAGTTTATTTTTGATTTAAAAACGAGTTGAGTTCAATTATTCGAGTATAGTTCAATTTATTACATGGTCCTTCGAACTGGATATGTCTACTGAAAAGAGTAAAAGAGCAATTCGACGAGGAAATCGAGCTTTCGTAACGAAAGTTATTCAGACGGCAAATGACGCCATTGACAAGTTTGGTGGAACTCAGGTGGAGAAAGATGCGTTAGAGGGTTGTAAAATCACGTTAATCGATAAGAAAGAATCCATAAGAAAGCTTGATGAAGCTATTCTGAATGAAATTGAAGATGAAGAGAAGATTATGGAAGATATATTTCAGGCTGGCGAAGTGGGTGAGTCGATCAATAAAATGCTTGTTAAAATTGACAATGTTTTGAAGACAGTTGAAGCGAGCAATGTGTCCTCGCCAGGGGGACTGGGTACAACCATGCCTAGCGTAAGTCAGCCAATGTACCCCTCATCAGCCAGAGCAAAATTACCGAAACTGTCCTTGAAGAAATTTGCTGGAAATCCTACTGATTGGCAATCATTTAACGATAGCTATAAAGCTGCTGTTCACACTAATGACAGTTTATCTAAAGTTGACAAATTCAACTACTTGAAAAGTCTGGTGGAGGGTCCGGCAGCTGCAGCAATCGCAGGGTTTTCGTTAACTGATGAAAACTATGAGACTGCTTTTAAACTTTTGGAAGAGAGATTTGCAAATCCACAAATTATAGTTTCCAGTCATGTTGAAGCCCTATTGAAGTTGGAACCTGTTTCTAATATACATGAAATTGTCAAGATTCGAAAGCTGTATGACAGTATTGAAACGCATATTCGTAGTCTAGCGAATTTGAACATAGAAAGTGAAACATATGGGACTCTTCTGATTCCAATGATTCTTGCTAAACTTCCAGAGGAAATGCAGTTGTTGATAAGTCGGAAGGTTGGCAAGGATGATTGGAAATTAGATGAGCTACTTAAGGAATTTAGAATTGAGTTAGAGGCTCGAGAAAGGTGCTTGTTGTTACAAAGCACTACAGAGAAAAAGGACGGTACCAGGAGAAAATATGAGCCTAGTACATCATCAGCACTTTTCACGGGAAGTGACAATCGTTCAATTCAGAAATGTACGTACTGTGGGGAACAACATTTATCATCACGGTGTAATATAATTACAGATATTTCAGCACGTAGAGCTATTCTCCGAAAAAAGGGACAGTGTTTTGCATGTTTGAAGTCTGGTCATATAGTCAGACATTGTCCTTCCAAGTTTAAATGCCCGAAATGTGGA